TTAAAACTAGACAATCTAGGAAAACTACGCGCTCATCTGTTGAAAACCTCAGTAAAATACAAATCCCTACTCAAATTACCACCAAGTGAACCTGCATTTCGTCAACATGCACTGAGAGCCTTGTGGCAGAGTTTGCAATGGACACAATCACACAAATCATATCCTGAACTTCCAGAAAGAATAGGGCATGGGTGGTCATTGGTGGAAGGGGATATTGTAACTACAAAGTTTGAAGGCCCCTCAGCTTCAGAAGTCATTGAAGGATTTCTTTGCTCTTGCAAAGGGAAGGCCATATGCCTTAAAAATTGTGAATGTGCATCTAGTGGATGCACAATTCTATGCCCATGCCTCGGAGAAGCAGCTATTTGTAAAAATGTATATTCTTAAATTCAGAGATGAAATATTTATTTGGACACTGGTCAAATACTGAGTGCCTACACGATCTGTCTATGATAGAAAATTTGCCAATGCCTGAAGATATAACTGCTACCAGCTTTACCTATGAATTCAGTGCCAATGCCTGAAGACATAACTGCCACCATCTTACCTATGAATTCAGTGCCAATGCCTGAAGACATAACCGCTACCTTTTCTTCTTGTGAATTCAGTGCCAATGCCTGAAAACATAACTGCTACCAGCTTTACTTATGAGTTCAGTGCCAATGCCTGAAGACATAACTGCTACTAGCTTTACCTATGAGTTCAGTGCCAATGCCTGAAGACATAACTGCCACCATCTTTACCTATGAATTCAGTGCCAATGCCTGAAGACATAATCGCTACCGTTTCTACTTGTGAATTCAGTGCCAATGCCTGAAGACATAAATGCCACCATCTTTACCTATGAATTCAGTGCCAATGCCTGAAGAAATAACTGCTACCATCTCTACTTATGAATTCAGTGCCAATGCCTGAAGACATAACTGCTATCATCTCTACTTATGAGTTCAGTGCCAATACCTGAAGACATAACTGCTACCAGCTTTACCTATGAGTTCAGTGCCAATGCCTGAAGACATAACTGCCACCATCTTTACCTATGAATTCAGTGCCAATGCCTGAAGACATAATCGCTACCGTCTCTACTTGTGAATTCAGTGCCAATGCCTGAAGACATAAATGCCACCATCTTTACCTATGAATTCAGTGCCAATGCCTGAGGAAATAACTGCTACCATCTCTACTTATGAATTCAGTGCCAATGCCTGAAGACATAACTGCTACCATCTCTACTTATGAATTCAGTGCCAATGCCTGAAGACATAACTGCCACCATCTTTACCTATGAATTCAGTGCCAATGCCTGAAGACATAACTGCTACCGTCTCTACTTGTGAATTCAGTGCCAATGCCTGAAGACATAAATGCCACCATATTTACCTATGAATTCAGTGCCAATGCCTGAAGACATAACTGCTACCATCTCTACTTATGAATTCAGTGCCAATGCCTGAAGACATAACTGCTACCATCTCTACTTATGAATTCAGTGCCAATGCCTGAAGACATAACTGCTATCATCTCTACTTATGAGTTCAGTGCCAATGCCTGAAGACATAACTGCTACCAGCTTTACCTATGAGTTCAGTGCCAATGCCTGAAGACATAACTGCCACCATCTTTACCTATGAATTCAGTGCCAATGCCTGAAGACATAATCGCTACCGTCTCTACTTGTGAATTCAGTGCCAATGCCTGAAGACATAAATGCCACCATCTTTACCTATGAATTCAGTGCCAATGCCTGAAGACATAACTGCTACCGTCTCTACTTGTGAATTCAGTGCCAATGCCTGAAGACATAAATGCCACCATATTTACCTACGAATTCAGTGCCAATGCCTGAAGACATAACTGCTACCATCTCTACTTATGAATTCAGTGCCAATGCCTGAAGACATAACTGCTACCATCTCTACTTATGAATTCAGTGCCAATGCCTGAAGACATAACTGCTATCATCTCTACTTATGAGTTCAGTGCCAATGCCTGAAGACATAACTGCTACCAGCTTTACCTATGAGTTCAGTGCCAATGCCTGAAGACATAACTGCCACCATCTTTACCTATGAATTCAGTGCCAATGCCTGAAGACATAATCGCTACCGTCTCTACTTGTGAATTCAGTGCCAATGCCTGAAGACATAAATGCCACCATCTTTACCTATGAATTCAGTGCCAATGCCTGAGGAAATAACTGCTACCATCTCTACTTATGAATTCAGTGCCAATGCCTGAAGACATAACTGCTACCATCTCTACTTATGAATTCAGTGCCAATGCCTGAAGACATAACTGCCACCATCTTTACCTATGAATTCAGTGCCAATGCCTGAAGACATAACTGCTACCGTCTCTACTTGTGAATTCAGTGCCAATGCCTGAAGACATAAATGCCACCATATTTACCTATGAATTCAGTGCCAATGCCTGAAGACATAACTGCTACCATCTCTACTTATGAATTCAGTGCCAATGCCTGAAGACATAACTGCTACCATCTCTACTTATGAATTCAGTGCCAATGCCTGAAGACATAACTGCCACCAGCTTTACCTATGAGTTCAGTGCCAATGCCTGAAGACATAACTGCCACCATCTTTACCTATGAATTCAGTGCCAATGCCTGAAGACATAATCGCTACCGTCTCTACTTGTGAATTCAGTGCCAATGCCTGAAGACATAAATGCCACCATCTTTACCTATGAATTCAGTGCCAATGCCTGAAGAAATAACTGCTACCATCTCTACTTATGAATTCAGTGCCAATGCCTGAAGGCATAACTCTTACCATCTCTACTTATGAATTCAGTGCCAATGCCTGAAGACATAACTGCCACCATCTTTACCTATGAATTTAGTGCCAATGCCTGAAGACATAACCGCTACCGTCTCTACTTGTGAATTCAGTGCCAATGCCTGAAGACATAAATGCCACCATATTTACCTATGAATTCAGTGCCAAAGCCTGAAGACATAACCGCTACCGTCTCTACTTGTGAATTCAGTGCCAATGCCTGAAGACATAAATGCCACCATATTTACCTATGAATTCAGTGCCAATGCCTGAAGACATAACTGCTACCATCTCTACTTATGAATTCAGTGCCAATGCCTGAAGACATAACTGCCACCATCTTTACCTATGAATTCAGTGCCAATGCCTGAAGACATAACCGCTACCCTCTCTACTTGTGAATTCAGTGCCAATGCCTGAAGACATAAATGCCACCATCTTTACCTATGAATTCAGTGCCAATGCCTGAAGACATAACTGCTACCATCTCTACTTATGAATTCAGTGCCAATGCCTGAAGACATAACTGACACCATCTTTCAATTTGAATTCAGTGCCAATCCCTGAAGACATAACTACTACCATGTTTAACTATGAATTCAGTGCCACTGCCTGAAGACATAACTACTACCATGTTTACCTATGAATTCAGTGCCATTGCCTGAAAACATAACTACTACCATCTTACCTATGAATTCAGTGCCAATGCCTGAAGACATAACTGCCACCATCTTTACCTATGAATTCAGTGCCAATGCCTGAAGACATAACCGCTACCGTCTCTACTTGTGAATTCAGTGCCAATGCCTGAAGACATAAATGCCACCATCTTTACCTATGATTTCAGTGCCAATGCCTGAAGACATAACTGCTACCACCTTTACTTAGCCTGAACACATAACCACACATAACTGAAGACATGACTTCCAAGTTGATGTAAAACAAAACATTATAGTGAAAGAAAAAGCAAAAATTCAGAAATATAATTGTTCAAGGGATAATATAGTTCTAAGATGATAAAACCTGATCAGGAAAACAATTTTAAATGACTTGAAAGAACAGATAACTTTTTCCGTGTTCACATGTTTGAAATCGGCCTGAACGATATAAGAGATAATAAATGATTATATATACTCTATAACAGGAACAATCTTTTTGTTATCTAATATGGTTGCCATGGTAACCGATATATCACTAACACACATATCTGCACAAGTTATCATTGAATGTATATAGGGTAAACTAGTAGCTTTCATTTAGTACAGTATTTATTATACTTTCATAATAAAGATTAGATTTTGAAACTCCATTTCAAGTTCCCTGTTTCATTATAAAGGTACATTTATCAGCACTTAGATTTTCAAATGAACAACTCCAGTAGACTACATTTATACTTTTCATAGTTATTATGCCTCATATTATATATCATAATGGAGCTATGATGTTAAATATTTATACTTTAATAAGATATCGTAAGTTAACCTCAATGATTTAATAAAATAATAGTTTGTATTGTTTAAAGTATTAAAAACCCATCCATTATTGAACAAAAAATTGGGTTATGACGTCACAGTTGATATGCAAATGAGCTAATTTGCATAATTTTGAACCAATCATAAACTTTGTTCCTTAAGCTTTCATTTGGCGTTAATATCATCAAAATCGGATAAAAAATGACAGAGATATCTCTAATAATAGAAATAGTCCTCATTAACAGTGGTGAAATTCGGTTGCCATGGAAACGGGCGTCTAAAACATCATTGTCCCTCATTATGATTTAAAATATATTTTTTTTCACTGAAGGCATATATAAACGAAGAGATTAAGGTATGACACGTCCTTATATACTCTGAACTATTAATCTCCTCAAAATCTCATTTTCACTCCTCGTCTATTACTACAGCAACCACGAAACCATTAATACAGAATTAGATACTTTGGGTTATATTGTAATGTATATATATATAAATGGATATAACACATTCTCTGAGAATTTCATGAGAATTAAAGAATGTTGAAATGGCAGACACAGCCACCTTTCTTTTGGATCACCCCTTGAATTTATATTTCATTATTTTTATTTGATTCAAATACATGTAATATAAAACAATAATGCTCATGTCAATAATCGGATATGTTTTTAATTTTTCCATACTTTTTAGCAACATCATTTCAAGGTTTATCATGTTTATATATTTACAGCACTGTCATTCACTGGTGAAGCAGATGGCCAGGTTTGAGGCTGGTACTCACAATGAAACCTGGCAATGTGAAGGATATTACAAAAGCATTCACACATTTCTCAATCAGGTGAGCAACATTGTGGATGAAGGAATATACCAATTGGGATGTACTTTTCACCATTTTAAGATTAATATAAAGATTGGCAGAATTGGATTATTTTTGGAACTATTTAGACATGTTAATCCAGAGACATATGAAATATATATATGTCTCTGGTTAATCAAGCTTATATGTTAAAGTATCTCATACTTGAGTGGGTTTGGGGTAGATATCACCCGGGAATATATATCGTATCTGAGGAGCGGGCAGGATATATTGTATATGTCCCGCTCCAGGCCAAATGCGGGCAGATATAATATATCCATCCCGCTCCCGGGAATTTTTCAAAAGTTTAAAAAAGTTTAAATATCAAAAGTATTAATTTCTTAATTTTAAAATTTAAATTTTTTAAGTTTAAATGTTACAATTTCATTGTATTGAACATAAAGAATATTACGAACATGTTCAATATGAATATCTTGTCATTTGAAAAAGGTGGAAAAGGTTATATCTACCCTAAACCCACTCAAGTAAGAGATACACCAGTTATGCACGGTTGGTTTGGATACATGGAATATCCCTTGGGATATACAATACACCTTCCCTCGATCCCTTCGGTCCCTCGGGAAAATATATTGTATATCCCTCGGGATATTCCCTGTATCCAAAACCTCCCAGTGCATAACCCCTATTTATCCATTAGTTGTTTATTCTTCTCAGTCTATCTAAAAATAATTTTTGGACAATGTATAGATCTTTCTATCCCAGCACAGGATAAGTATGAGTATATTATCCAGTATGCTCTGCTAATGTATGTAGTTTATTAATAAAATGAAATATCTAAATCCATGATATTTGAGAAAATACAAAAAATTATTTACTTATACACAGAATACATGTACTTTACGTTTCCATATTCTTCAGGTATGTAGTCACTCTGGTACCAAAGATGCCTTAAGAACCAATATAGAACCAACAGGAACATATATCTCAATGGAACATATATAACATGCATTAATTTAAGGATCATAATCAAGTGTACAGAGAGGTGATATCTCAAGACTGTCCATATTGCTACCTGAAGCAATGGATGACGATGTGGCACAATGTGATATAATTATGCTCTCTGGAACTCTGACAGGCTCTAATTCAAGGAGCGGATTTCTTTTTTGCTTTGGTCCGTACATGTTGATTGACTAGACTGTGACTAGACTAGACCTACATGATTCTTCTTGTTACAAATGTTAAAATTGATGATTATATGCTACATTTTGTCAAAACTTAAAAATTCGAGAAGGTTGAAAAACCAAAAGTGTACATGTTTTTACAGGGCAAAGTCATAACATAAACAAACATTTGCATTCATGTTTGAAATTTCAAAGAACTTTTGTGCAATTAAAACTTATAATTTGATTTTTGAATATCGGAAAACTTTTTTATCTTAAATGTGAAATTAATTTTTAAATGAAATTTATGGTTGTTGCATGCTATATCCTTGATTTATGGGGAATTTAAAGACTATAGTATGAATGGAAATAGTTCCATGTATTATAATTTAGCCAGGGATTTGTTTAGATTTTAAGTTTACAGTGGCAATTTTGCACTGCTACAAAACTTGGATTGTTTTAGAAGAAAAGTGTGATTACTTTTTTTATAATATTTAGTTTACCCCAAAAATTGTCCTCTGTGTCATTGTTAAACTATTATCCATAAAAACTTGTGATACCATATGATTTATAATGTTAATAATTTAAAATTTTGTAAGATACATATTTTATTTAATTTAACACTAAAGGAGGGGTAACATGATCTGAATCAAATGAAATTGAATCCAGCCTAATAGTAATGGATAATCTTATGCATTATGTTTGTATGCATATAAAAAACTATTTGGATGTTTATCTTGTGTTTGTGTTAAAGGCCTCATATAAAGTTTAAACCACTTTGACTTATATTAGAAAATTGGTTGATAAATAAGTGAGAAATGATCTCATCCATGCATGAAAATGATTCAGAGAAAAATGTGTTTTAAAATTGTATTCCTCATAGAAATCAATGATACAGTAACATATAAAACATAATGTAGTTTTCTTTTCAACCTAGTGTGGTAATTATCATTGGTTTTATAAGTGCAGCTTATTTAGAATAGATTGACAGAAAAAATTTCAATAAAATTGAGTATTTGGGAAATAAAAAGCTGACAACTTTTTTGAAAAATCTCGAAAATAACTCAAAATCAGGGAAAATAGTAAACTAATAATAGAAACATATTTTCAAACTTTGCATGGGGCCTTTAAAATATGCTAAATTATATACTGTACTTGTCTTGTAAGTGGCTGGCCATATTATGGGCATCCTAACCTTGTATTGTATAAGTCTATTGGTGGTATAAATCGCAGCCGGAGTTCTTTCAAACAATGAAAATTTAGCTCCCCAAGATTTGATGGTTTTGCCCAAATACACTTTCATTTGCCCCCAGGTTCTTCATTAAACACAGACTACATAAGCCAGAACCCATCATTTCTATGAACATGACATCAACTGTGTGATGTCCATTCAAAATTCAAAAATTTTGAGATTGAGTCAACATATTTGTCTTTTGTGAATACCCAGTTCAATTTGAATCATACTGAATTAACAGAACCAAAACCATATGAAACTATGCATAATGAATATGTGAATATATTTACTGTATTCAAGATCATAGCAAAATGGCTGATAAAATGGTTTTGTATGACCATTGACGCATTGATATTTTACCATTTTCATACATTTGGCTATTTAAAATATAAAATTCATGATTTTGGTGTCTATTTTCTTTGATGTCAAATTGACCAGAGTTTCAGTATATTTGTGCATGCCGTAGTCAACTGTTTGTATTAAATTTTGAACTTGCATGTAATCTGCTATACTATCACTAATATTTATATGCACGACTCTATTTTCTAAAGATAGATATTTATTTTGAAATACAATGTAAATAAAATATGTATACATATATTTAGTTCTGTGACTTTACACACAAGAAACATTGCAAAGTATCAAAATTAACATAGGACTGGTGTTAGGTCCCATTTCTAAACACTCAATTGCATAATTAATTGATTTTTAAATAGTACTTTTTTGGAAGTTTTTGAAAATGCAGTAGTTTTAAGGTAGATTTTGAAAAGATATGGTAGTTTTGGGGTAGATTTTGAAAAACTAGTTTTGCGTTTTGCGGTAGATTTAAAGAGCTGATTTTGCATAGGTTTTGACAATTTTCAATGAATAAATAATAAAGTATGTTTTTCTAATACAGCATTCATGGAACTCTTTAATAAACAGACTAACAATTTGAACACTTCAGTGTTTTTATTACTACAATAGAACCTGTGGTACATGAACACTGTGTTGACTGATTAGTACACACCAGCTTACTTTGCTAAGTACGCAATAACCAATGTCACAGACCTGCCGACACCTATTTATTTTCGGGTTGGTAATGGAATATTAAAAGGACAATACAGGAAGACTTAAATTTTTCAGAATTTCCTAATAATAACGGTATATTTTACGGCAGAAATACGGTTTTTTATTTTACGGCCGTTCTTATATAATGCTCTGGATAACTGCAAAATTTGATCAATCTGAGTAGCTCTGGAAAGCTCGTTACTGTTTAAGTTGACAGATTATTTAGATAAGATGTAGGCTAAGTTATGGGTTTGTCTTTTTGGTTTCTGTCTGGAGTGAACTCACTGTGCTCCTTTCATAGATAGATTGCAGTCGGATTCAATGTCTTTTTAAAGGCAAATATAGAGTGTTCTTTGAAGTATTCCAGATTTAAACTTATAAGATTTTACTATAACATGTACTATAATACCCAGATACAGATAAAATATTTGGTCCAGTTTGAAGTCCCAAGTTACATTTACTACAATGGAATATGAAGTACCGAATTTCAACATTGAAATCACTTATATATTTTGATTGCCCGGACAATTCGTAAAATCAAATAAACGTGAGATTTGGTGTAAAACTTTTCCCAAATCAAATGTAAATGCTATGCTGGAATGGTGGGTAAATGTATTAAGATAGTTTATGAACAGTTTGTGAACAATTTCTGCATCCTAATTTTTCACTTAATAATTTCCATATTTGGTCAAACTATGGTACCTTTATTACCTGTACTGTATGGTAACTTTATTGTATCAAGTTACAAGAGGAAACTCCTTCTACAGAGTAATTTGAATGCAGAGAAGGGAGGGGAAGTGTTTTTGCATGAATTTAGAAATAGACCCCCCCACAGTCACCAAATTCTAGCTATGACAGTGTATTACGAGTCACTTAAAGGCAAATGAATATCAGCCAGTCAAGTTCATCTATCTTGACACAATGTATAATATTGTGGAGATAGCATCCTTGGTCCAAGGGTATTTCACTTCTTTCCATAATTGAATTGAGTAATAAAAAATGAAGTCCTTTGAATGAAGGATGTGCAGATAGAATATACGAGTGTATAATATTTTATTGCCCAAGTGTAGGGCCAATGTAAAACCCTGCATTGAATTACAAGTGTTAAACATTCAAAGGATTGGTATCGATATGGAGAACTGAATTCAACAGTGTTTTTCTCTTAAACCAGTCATTGAAAACATTCTGTAAAAAACATGGTATTTTATGTAATGTTGACTGATTGACAACAATTTAATGCTAAAATTATTTAGAAATATTTTATATAACTGTTTTTGTTAACATTTTCTTTTTTTAGTGCAATTGTTTTTGCTCCTTTCTACCAATTCTTGACAATGAAATAAAATGTCTTTCCGAACCTTGTTGGAACAAAATAGCAAATATAACATGTTTTTAGACCTCTAAATATTATAGTTATACATTGTACAAAGGAATTTTTGGTTGATTTTAGAAAAGTATTCAAAAAATTAAAACAAGATCCCCCCAAAATAGGTAAAAATCAAGAAAAAACTTTTATTTCATTAACAAGATACTTTTTTAAAATCAACCAAACTTTCCTTTGTACAATTACAATATTGAGAGGCCTAAACGCATTGTGTTTATGTCGTTTTGTTCCGATGAGGTTCGGAAAGATGTTTCATTTCACTCTGGAAACATGATACCAAGAACAAAACAAGTGTTTGATGTGTTTTCTAAAACAATATAGATGAAAGTATATATATATATTTCAGATTATATTGTTACCATTCAAAAGATGACCATTAAGTTGATGATGTATTAGATTTTTAGATTTTTATTAGGACTGGTTTAAGAGAAACATGTGTTCAAAAAGTTCTCCATATCGATACCACTCCTTTAATCTAACTGATGACTAAACTCAAATGAACAGAGATATAGGATTTCAATCTCAACAAAATGAAACAATAAGCTAATCTGTTCTGTCATTGCAGTAATATTAATGTCAGGCTAGATTTTAGAGATTTTAATGTGTTTCAGTCATTCACCATCCTCCGATCACAGGGCTTCAAAATCCAGAATATCTTCTTTCTTTTTACACCCTGCAATAAGCAGTTAGCATTTCCCCGATTGAGAACTCGCAATTTGATTCATGTGTACATCATCGGTGCATAATTAGATAACGTGACTCAGTTAAATCGGGCACTTCCAAATTGGTTATAGCAGGGGGGAAGAAGGAGGTACGGATTCTGGACACCTACCTAGGAGGATGGTCATTCACTGGAAGACTGTACAGAAAAATCGAATTATAATGAAATATTTTACGGTAGATTTTGGTAAAATGATGGTAGATTTTTTACGGTCGTTTTTACGAGAAAAAATGGTAAATTTTTTATGGTAGTTTGTCACTTTTTAATGGAAAAACGAAGATTTTACAGTAGATTCCCGTAAAAATGTGGTAAGTTGGCAGGTATGGTTGTTGCAACAAACTTAAGGTTCATAGTACCCACTCCAGTAGTTCTGTTTGGTAATATGTTTTTCAGTTGCACCTTGAGTTACCAGAAGCACTTAAGTTGTAAAGTGATTCTCATATACTGTCAAATGAGAAGGGTACAAAGGTGCACTGGATGGAGAGTCTATTGAATATAAATCTACAGACCGAAGGAATATGAAAAATCAATTTAAATTCAGTTTACAAAATGAAATGGATTTCTCAACTCCAATATGAAGGGTGATCATTGCTAGTATATCAATGATATCACTTTTTTGCAACCCCCTTCCATTTAAGGTCCCCGAGTCATAAATTCAACAAGACAATGTACTTAACAAATTTTCTAGTAAAATAGATACAGCTCCAGTATAGCTTTCAAATCAAAGTATTTATTTCATTGTACTATCATCTGTTGGTTTTAATAACAATGTACAGTTAGTTAAGTATATTTTAACATTTCTACTTTTCTTGAAAGAAAACAGAACTCAGTCTATGATTCTGTGATTAGGCCTATCTGATAAAAATGATAGTTTCAATTGTAATTGAAATACTGTAACACAAAATTGTGTCAAGGTCAATAACATCATTGTCTCCCTGAAAATAATAACCATGTCTAAATCTTGTAAAAAGGCATTTACAAAAAGCAAAATAACCTATATCTTAAACAGAAAAATAACAGAAATGTACATGAACTGTATAAATATCATGTAAAGAAGATTGTTTGCATTTTACTTTGGTATATACATCATTTTATAAATACAATTGTTATGATCGTAATATACATATTTATATATGAATATCTGGACGGAAATAATTATTTGAAGAGAGTAAAGTGACTGTATATCATATGTGGAATGTGATTACATGTAAAACATTGTTATATCACAATGTGTAATATCAGTGCGAGTTTCAGCAGTAGTTCCACTTGGTATGTGTATTATAGAAAGCTAGCACAATAAAGGAATTACAGAATGCTCACTGGTGTCTAATTTGATACAGTTCAAAAAGGGAGAAATTATCAGAGATTTGACAAGGGTCAGGTTCTCCAAGTTATTTTAATTCTAGAATATCACAACTGCTTTCAGTTTCATGATATAACAATGGCAATTCAAAAGCAGAGTATTTTTGTGAAATGGTCAATTACGCTAATCTATATATAGCATATACAATATCGTGATTGTCTGATATAGGTAAGGCAGATCTAAGAGGTAAAATAAGAGATGGAGAGCATGGGTGAAGTAGAACACCTCTTAATAGGCTCAAGTTGACTTTACACATTATACATGACCCGGAGTGCTCAAAAATGTAAATCTCTAGCAAATAGTTTTTTTCTTGTTATAATAGGGTATAATCAGTAATAAACATTTGGAAAATGAATAGAAAACATATTGTTGACTTTTTTTTCGCAAGTCTCTTGAACCTGAATGTTAACATGAATCATTATTTAACCTGTGTTAACAACTTCTCTTGTCACACACACTCTCAGTCTGTGTGAGAAGCTATGTAGTGTTAGCTAACATTCATATTCTACATATGCTAAGAAACAAAGTGATGTTTCTTTTTCACAAAAAGGAATGACCTGGTGACTACCACACCACTATTATGACCACTCTAGAAATTTGTGTATATGTTATACAGAGTGCACTTGGCAAAATAGAAAGAATATACCAATGACATAAATAAAATAATAAGGTTTTATGACTGTTCAATAAGATATAAAACATTCCCTTGTAAAACACATCTATTTAATGAAAATGAAATGATTTTAACAAATGTTAAAATTCAACATATGTATGCACTTATGTTTAGTGTATATGATATAAAATATTTATAGCTTAAAAAAATATAGTCATTGAACAGTACATGAACACGAGGCATTAACATGCAAAATGTCACCACCTGCCATTTGTTGCCAACCACCAAATGCCAAACTCCAAACACCATCCAAAATATGTCATCACTTGTGGTGGTGACATAAAGTGATATGCCTAACATTTAACACTACATACACATCACATCTTATTGCACCTTTTAACAAATTATTTTTCCATGACGCCCTCATGTCAAGTAAGCCTACTTCCTGTGATGGGCTTTGTATCTATCCAGCTCATGTGTTCTGGTTCTAATAATATGGCTCCTAAAATCTATTTTTGTGACACTGGACTTGATTGTACATTTGCATATCAGGTAGTTTTTATAAATATCAAAATATTTGCATAGAATATAATGACCAGAGATTCTAACTTATGCCACCTTTGGGGAAAATGACACTGATTTATATTCATGTACTTCGTTTACATTCCTGATATCAAAGATGAGGGGGAAGTTAATGTTTGTATTGTTTTTCTACACCACTAACAGGCTGCTTATGACACTCTTTTGTATATTGAATATATCATCTCTGAGGGGCAAGTTGTAAACTGATTATGTGGTTGTGGCTACATTTCATGTGACTGGGATGGAAGCAATGGTGATTGTCGATCTTCAATGTACTTCATTTTTATAATTTTTTAAATGTTTTCCTTATTTCTCCACTGTTGCATATGGTACAATCATGTTATAGTCTCTCTGGAAAGAAACAAAACAACACACTGTAGAATTGTAGAAATTACTGCAAGACAGCCTATTAGATTCAGGGGACTAACATTTTATTTTATTTCTTATTTTCAGAAAGATATCCTAGACACTAATTGGTCTTATTGTATTGTGTTAAATGACTGGTTTTACTGAGAAAACAGCAATTAGCTAATCTTTCAAACGTTGTACCTTAGCTTGCCGTTGCCGTGACACCTCTAGTTCAAAGTTGTTGTCATGCTTGCTGTTCAATGTACTGCGTATATAGTTGCCATGTGGACCATTTATATGACCATCATCATACATCTTCCTATATGACTCTGCCTGTAAAAATGGGTTTGAATAATGTCATGCAGTACAACATATGTAATAACTACAGGATATTTTATGGCATCAAGAAAATATTTGAGAACATTTTAGTACAACTACAAAGAATGGAGTGTTTAATGATAACCCACTTTCATAGGAAATAGGTAGAGTCACAATTAAATTCCAAATCCAAACACGTACTTAATGTACTATGATGTACTTAATGTACTATGATGTACTTAATGTACTATGATGTACTTAATGTACTATGATATGGTTAATGCAACAGTATTCTCACATGTTACATGTCTTCTACAATCTTATATCAATGTGAATTACTGTTACTGTAATATTGTGCACAAAATTCAAAAGATAAGGTAAGAAAATTGTGTCAGTTTACACTATAAATTATTTGAAGAGGCTATGAATACTAAAACTGACTGATTGTTTCTTCCTATTCTATAAGTATTAATCAAAACCATCATTGGCAAAGTTGTCAAATTGTGGAGTTCAGAGTTACAAAATAAGGTCACACACAATGCTTAGTTTTAAAGCATCTGAATATGGTTCAGTATAGATATATTAAGCTGAAATTAAATGAGGAACTAAATATGAAAAGTCATCATATATTTTGTTATGGTCACATAGGGTGAGTAGCATACAGTATGTCACACAGAATTCCAAATCTGCAAGTCAATATATTCATAGTTCATAGATGGAATCATTAGTACAATCAACACTATGTTATAAATGAGCTAAATTGTAAGGGATCACATCAAAACATCAATACATAACAAGCTACAAAGTAAAAAAACTGACTTAACCCCATACCTTTCCCTAAAATGAAATTCAACAGTGACTTCCAAAATAGCTTAATTAATCTGAAGGCAGGAATCAATGTAAGAAATGAAAATAACAGTTTTCCCTAAATACCCAACTTCCGAACCCACTTCTACCAGTCCCAAATGAAATAAGTAGCAAGGTTGGGTGTACATGGATGCTTTGATGCAATCTCTGAATATAAAATGTGATGAACAAAGAGTAGTGATGAAACAGGAGTACAAATATGAATACACACACACACAGGTCACAGTTTAGACAAACCTGTTGCCAAGGTTCATATCGTGAGAAATCTTTATTAGTTTCCCAATGTGGAGCCTCGTCCTGGAAGCAGCGAACATGTGAAGCTAATTTTGTTGTACTACATTCAATATGAACTTTTACAGGTTTGGAAATATTTTTCGACTCGTCGCTTTTTCTTCCTGGCTACGCCATTGCATAACTATCTTACATATAAAGCAAAATCTACAAAGCCTTATTTTTGCATGCATATGTACTAATGTAGGCTATCTATACATGGCAGGGCTGGCATGGAATGTATTTTTTGTCTGAACTGTCCGATTTTACCTTTGGAAACAGACTTTTAGGACTGCCTTATCATATTCCAATATTTTTGGAATAAATTGTTTTCTGTAAAGAACAGTTGCTAGCGAACTGGAATAAAAGTAAATCTATAAAAATATACTATATACAAAACTTGTTTTATATGTGATAAAGGTCATCAAAAAAAACTCAAAATTCTAAAGGGAAATTCAGAAATTTGTTCCGATTCATTCCATTCCATGCCAGCCCTAATACATGCACATGCAGAAGTTATATGGTAACAAACTTCAATATAATACTCAAATACTGGCTTGAGGGAACACATTGATGATGGTTTAGAAATGATTGGTGGTGATATTTCAGTATTTTTTAAGAATCAGTTAACTTAAAGGTAGATTCATTGGATAAGAAACCAAAGAGTACATGTAGAAAAGTTGCAGTTGCAGAGTGCAGACCATAATCTTGGTCCTGAGGGGCACCATTTTGCTCTTGACAAGAAAATTTTGTCAAATAAAGCTGAATCCAGAATTTGTAGTCTAATCATATATTCTTTTCCATTTAAAATATTCTTTAATTAAAAACGACATTTTGTGCTTCAAAGTTCAGGGCTAATCTGTGCAAAAGAGTTTAGTATATTAGGAATGGGTTAATTCTTAATAATTTGAAGTGATATTGAAATAAATTAAGTTTGTGTTGCATGCATTCAGTGATGACAGATGATGGTCAATAACCAACCTTGGCCTCCTCAGTATTATTTCCTGCACTCTAAATGAATAATAATTAAATGCTACAAAATATTTATATTTCATCTAGAATTTCAAGTTCATAAAATGTCATATGATCACATAATTTTATAGCACAAAAATCAAAATGTGATTTTTGTCTAATAATGGGTTCATGTTAAACTTGGTACAATATTTCAACAGATCAATTTTTATGTTGCCAGCTTCTTGATCAAATACAGGTAATTACTGTTATAGTTATACTCCCCAAAACATTATAGCCCAGTGAACATTTTGCGTAGAATGTAATTAATCAGAAAGATCAGAATGACATTTTATACACTGGTGAATAAGACTCCATAAAAAGCAAACTACATAACAATTAATATATTCCACATTGCTCCACCAAAATATAAAGGACATTTAAAAGCTATTTATCAAGTATTTAATATTACCTCTCGTCTTGGGTTGAAAAGAGCATCTTCTAAGTTGACTTTTTTGTTCTCAGCTGTGGGTGCCCCACCACCTGCTCTCCCCCAGTAATCTGAGAATGCTTCCTGGTGCTGCAATAATATAAAGGAACATTTAGTATTATTATAACAGGCTTGATCTGCAATAATGTAACACAGATAATCATATGCAGCTCAATGTATAACCAAATTTTTACCTCATAAAATAGTCAAAACCTGTCAATTTGTCAACTTAATTTATCCTGAAGGTTCAACAGAATAATTACAATCAAGGCCATGGAGGAGACTTTATTCTGTTGCATTTAGGCACAAATATTCCGAATATTCCAGAGAATTTTGTACATTTTACAAGTGTTATATTGTGTTAATTGTACCTTTTGTGAATCTGCTTTATCCTTTATCTTCTCTACCACCCTCTGTCTATATCTGTCCTCAGCTGCCTGTTGTAGCTCATTATGATAAGTAGGTGTGTCTTCAGTCTTCTGAGGCCTGTAGTTGGCAGCCATCCTGGTGATATCTGAGTGAGGCAAGTGCTGGTCCAGGAGGAATCCAGTGTTAGGATCTCTTAGGGGATTACCAACCTTTTTGTCCTTCATCACTGAAGTTATATCTCCAATCTACAGAGGTTAGTGGTATGATATTTAGTTCCTTATTAGGTTTGAATATATTAGTCACATTGGGCTACTAAACTATCTACAAGTGTCTATATATTCCTTGATCTCGATGCCCTGTGTTCAGTGTAGATCAGACCAACTCAAAGGTTATGAGGAGATCTCAAACAAGAAGTATGATAAAGTGGGACAAAGTGGGATAAAGTAAGACATAATGTATTGTTCAAATTACTGGAAATAACTCACAATGACTTGTTTCCTTCTACTTACTGGGGCTTGATCGTAATTCTTCCAATCCTGTTTATGTTGCTTCTGCTCAGCCATCTCCTTCTGTAATTCAGTAAGGTATATGCTGGCTGCCAGCTGCTTCTTCTTGCCATCAGCCGACCCTGCCTCACCTGTGATCTTCTTGAGATTCCCATAAACGTTTGGTTGCACATGTCCCTCTGTGTCCTTTAATGGAGCTCCTGCACCTGATTTGCCAAAGGGGTCATAAGGAGTAAATGTTTCATCAGCATATTTGTGATGTTTTCGTAGTCGTGGTGACGCCTGATCACTAATTTCTACCTCTGAAATTGTTAATTGATAATATCATGCAGGGAGGAATAAAATAAGTAAAATATTAAAAAACCTCATCAGGATAAGCGGTGGAACATTCTTTTAATTAAGATAGGCTTAATGGGAAAAAATGTTGGGTCTGTCATTATGAAAACCAGTATAGCAAGCCAGATTATTTATTCAAACTTTTTAAATGGTAAAACATACTTCCATATTCATCTCTCATTAGTGATGACTTGAACTTTGTGTTGACAGTTCCGCTGTCTGTCTTCACAGGGGCCCCCGATCCACCATGGCCCCCCTGTCTGTGTAGAGCTAGAGACACATCCTGCAGGCAGAAGATTTTCAGTTAAATATAAATGTTTTATTTGCACAGGTTGTAGTGTGTAAAACCCAGATATTCAAAAGTAGTACCTTTTCTAAAATTGAACAAAGATATATTTCTAATTGTCATTATTTTCATTTAGTACATGTTGTAATATATAGTCTGTACATTGTATATAAATCATATTTTGTACAGGGTGATCATTAAATAAGATCAAAAGTAATCTAATTTTTGTAAACATTAATGAATCTGGCTCATTTTCTCACAAAATTTTGATCTAATAATTATAAATACACAAAATAAATATCACCCCATTACATTTAATATTCTGCGTTCTATGGTAACCATGGAAACCCAAGTTGAGGGTACCCGGAACAGTAAAAAAAAGAAAGAAAATATTGTGATTTTTTCTTTCTTAATTGTTTTATACTTTGGTTAACCACCATATTCTGTTACATTCTTATTTTCTCATATGTTCATTTTAGGTGTTTTATATATTTTTCATTATAAAAACGAATTCAAGTTTACATCCAATTTACACTTGTACACTTAGTTTTCATCAGACCTTGGTGTATACTTCGATGTTAACTTTACCTCAAGTAAATAGGTATTTACTAGCAGAAAGTAAACACTGATTTACTAGGTGTAAACTTGACTTAGAATTTGTTAAAAGTGAAACTGAGTGTAAATTAGACTCAGAAAAATCAAATATTGGTCAAGGTGTAAAATAAGTGTAAACTTGACTGAATCCTAATTCCAAAACGAGGCTTGTGCAATCAAAGCTGGCTTGGCCATTTTGGTTTTGGTAAGTCTTCACAAAATCCCATAACATCGGCCCTGATACAGTTTTACTTTACTTGATTTTGGTGTTAATTTTACTATTAGGTATTAGTTATGTATTTGTTCCAGTTTCATAGTCATTGTTCAATTCAATTCAATTCAATTCACTTTATTTCAAATGTTTCAAATACAGTGTTTTACGTTGACATGAAAAGACACCCCGAGGGGTGTATAAGTTCCATGTTTAACATACAATATAGCATTTATTAAATTAACAGTCAGGTTATATGGAAACAAAAAAAAAAAATGACAAAGCATAACATGCATCACAATAAAATACAAGTAATAAGAAGAAAGCATTTTCAAAGAAGATCTAATAATGACTTAGCAAATCAAACTTTAACTTTCATTCAAATGATTTGATATGTTTAGAATTTTCATTTAGTTATCGATTTTCTTCAGCTTCAAATTTTTCTTCATTCCATTGAATCTTTCTACCTTTTGTACTTGCCTGCTTGTTTTGATCTTTCCACTACACGTCATATAATTTGACTACCATCTCAATATTTTCACCTGGAATTCATTCTAATCTACATCGTGATGGCATTATATCCCAAATTGTAATTCAATATGGTTCAGTTTTTTTCGTATAGGTTTTTAGACATACATTTATTAACTTCTTGAAGACTGGCAACTTTTTGGAAAAATGAAGAAAAAGAAAGAAAAAGTTATTTGTAAAAGAATCTAGAAGTAAGAGAAGGAAGCAAGACCCAATAAATTATAAAGACCCATATTTTATGGGTTTTTTTTGAAAAATTTGAATATGCAAATGAGTGTCATTGTGACATCATAATTCAAGATGGCGGATTTGGACTTTTTACAAAACAGAATTATTTTAGCATTTGATTTTTTGTTTAAAACTTCAATTTAAAAACCTGAGTAGAATTACTCTACAAGTAAAAAGTATAGATCTTTTAATGCTGATCATTCTGTGATATTTGTACTATAGCATAACTCCTACAAATATGTTTTTAAGCGCTAAGACAGATAATTCCAGGAAAATCCCTGTGGCGATTTAACATGGGATTTTTTGTTTTCGCATTTTTTTGCGATTCGTTACGCTTTGGACCCCCTTTAACTTCATTAGTACTTAACGAAAAGTTACCTTTTTTAGAATGTTTTGATATGGGATATTCAACACATTTTAAGTGACATTTAATCCAGTTCAAGAACACATGTGTGAAGCCACCTTTACTCGTCACACACACTCTGTCAAGTACCACCTTTTTCAGATCTTCTTCGGTTTTGAGAAATTCTCCCCAGAATTCAGATTTTAAGTCCCCATAGAAATAAAAGTCTCAGGGAGCCATGTCTGATGAGTTAGGGCCCATTCCCAATCCAGTTTGGTTTAGTTGTTTGATCACCATGCTGTCCAATTGCTTCTGTGTTAAATTTGCTATGGCAAGGTGCATTATCTTAATGCAGGATGAAGTGATCTACCAACTCTGGTCTTTTCTTGCGAGTGGCATAAAGACATGTGTAAATGGACTGGATTAAACATCACCAAAATGTGTTGAATATAATAGCAAACACAAGACAAAATCGTATGGAATAACTAGCGATAAGCTAGTTATTAAGCTTGTTATTATGGTCTTACTAGTGGTTATTATTGAGTAATGGTACAGGTATTCGATATGGTATTGCAGCTTACACTTAAGTAATGGTACACGTATCCTTGGATTTTAGGCCCGAATACCGAGGTTTATTTTTTTAATTATCGTGTATTATTATTTTGTGTTAGTATAAGTTAACCATATAACTATTGGCATGATATGATAACCTTGTTATATTAATATAGCGCATAGGCGTAGCCAGGGGGATGCGATGTGTGCGATCGCACCCCCCTCCATAACCAATGAAAATAGAACCATTAGATAGAAGAAAAAAGTCTTAAAATGCTTTTTATTTGAAGCTTCTAGCTCGATTTTGAACGAAGTTGCACCAATTTTTGTAAAATTCAAAACAAATCATCAAAAACATTTTTTATGCCACGATCGCACCCCCCCCACCCCTCCCCCCGACTGAAAGCTGGCTACGCCACTGTAACGTGTAATCAATACGCTACATTTTGTATGTTCAATTTGTATACTAAAAACTGTTATTAATCCACAAATTTAGATGAAGACAAGATAAAAATTCGAATCAAGAATGAAAAGGTGTCTAAGTATATGATTCTTAAGGGTAATGCATATTTGAATTAAACAGAGGCGGGTTAATTTATATTGTGCTATGAATTACGCTATTATTCAAAATTGCAGCTAAGATGCCTGTTTTACGATACCCTGCGTGCAGAGTCTAGTTAAACTACACTAAGACGAAGCTCTCTTTTAAGAAGTGAAGTCAAACGAATGCAAAGGGTAGTTTTATGAAAAATATCACGGAAGATGTATTCTAGATATCAGTAGTATTCTCAGAAATTTATTATCCGAAACGGATAACATCTGGCCACTCAGACAAACAATCGCAGACATAGGCTAAGCTTGTTTATTTAACAGTTAGATTTGTTGACTTACCGATCCGTATTTCAATCTCCGGGAAGACGTTCTTTTCACATTGTATTTGCGTGCAGTGTAAAATAAGTTGATACTTTTGTTCAAAAATGTACTTTTAATGGCCATTTTATGCCTTTTATTTTCAAATTATGTTTTGTTTGGATGTCAGTGTGAAAAGTCAAGAAACGTCAACCCCGACTTTTAATTGTTTTAAAATGTTGGTTAATCACTTATGGCAAATCACAAGGTTGATGATGTCAACGGACCATGATCGTGGAAGGCTATCAATATCAGGTGTATATCGCATAGAAAATAAATATAGCTAATTTTTCACACTGATATGATGATGACTATTCTGGCGAATCGGGTAGATATTTCTCAGTTTTTTCCGGTAATAAAACTATTCATTTCTATCAATTTTACAAACGGGGTCCTTTGAATGCACATTAAAACTATTAAAGTATTTATTGGGCGTACATACTCGTTCTGTCATGTTACTTACATTTCATTTGCAAGTTGTCCACATACTAATCCGGCGTTTTGTTTAATCAAATTTCCCGCCCCTTGAGGTTTCCGACTGTAAAACTTAATATTTAATACAAACCAATGCATCAGTTAATATTTTCAGAATACAAATTTTCCATTTTTATTTCTCTGATAGATAAAGTCTCATTTCTCTGTTCGTGTATTAAAGAGTATGCTTTTATAATGCCGTGGTCACATTTGCTCAGATTTTCAGCACCGGCGCCCGGCCGATGAGTATTTTGTTCAAAATTGTATTCAATTCTGAACAAAATACTCAATCGGCCGGGCGCCGTGGAGCAAATGTTACCAAGTCATAACTGATGAAAAATCAAATGAGAACATGATCATGGATAATAGGGGAACTATTATGCTGCGTGCAGACTCTAATTATAAACTACGAGAAGACGAAACTCTCATTAGAGAAGTGAAGTCGAACGAATGCAAAAGGTAGGGTACTATAGAAGGGGATCATATAAAAGCACGATCTATTTCACAACGCCTTTAACTTTTGTTCTTCAACTGTTGCCCTTTGTGCATTTCAAACATAAAATATCTTAATCTGATTTGTTCCACCTTTCTTTTCGCTCAGTTCTGCACTATTATTTCCATATGTTGTTTAGGATTATGTCATTTGCGAAATAGCTGTAAGACATTATGAGAATGAATATGGGAGTTTCCACGATAATGTTGTTCACATGATTTTATACACATACCTGCATAACAATCGGAGACAGAAGTCTTAATATTGTCCAATAAAAAATGAGAATCTAACATTTAATGATAACAAAAGGATTAATTGCTTAGTTCTCTTTGTTTTAGTCTTTGTTTTCTTAAATGCGGAAGTGTACCAACATCACCTAGATTACATAAGAGATCATCCAACAGTCTAAATTTGCTTTTAGTTGCAAGTTAATGCATTCCGACCAAAATTTGTATACCTGTAATTTGGGGGGGGGGGCGATGTTACATCACATAACTACAACGTTCATATAGAAATATACAATAAGCATGTCCGTATAAAAGCTAAAATTATAAAAACTCATTTCAAAGTCATTCTGTTCATGGAAGCGTCAAGTTATGAAAAACAACGCTAAACACTCAAACAAATCGACTTGATTACCTTTGAAAACTTCTTGAGAGGAAATG